GGGGGCGTCCCCCGCCCCCACCACGACAAGCGGCGGCGCGTGGGCATCACGCGACGAGTGGGGATCGGCGGAGAACGAGAGGATTGGGAGGGCTTTCCGGGGAATTTGACGAAATATTCGAAATGGGTTTGGGTTCACATTGTTGACGGGTCTCTTCGATTGATCAATTCGGATGTTTGGGTGAAGATTCGTCAACTTGGGGAGCGAAATTGCTTTCATCGTCGTCTGATTCATCCGAATTCAGTGTAAAGTTTTTGACTTTCGAGCAAAGCGAGGCACTCACTTCATCGGAGCAGAGCGCTTGGGACAAGGGATGCACCGGTTTGATTGGAAGTTGAGTAATCCGCCTTAACCGGAATAAACCGATAAAACTAATAAAAAGATTACAGTATTTTGTTACCAAACCAAATCCCATGCAAATTTTCCAAATGCCCATCTGTTTACATTGTTTATAGATTATTTTGCAACTTCTTCCACAAATTTCCAGTAGAGACACGGAGTTCAACGACATTAGGTGTATGGTGACGTAAGCAATGGCCTAAGCAAAGCAGAAGCATCGCGATCCTCGTCACTTTTTTTTAATAATTTATAGAATGATAATACCGTATTTTGTAAACATATGGAATCCAAAGTACCTAGATATATGTAAAGGAGCAAAAAAATCAAATAATAAATGGTAAAAGTTTATTTAATTAAGAAAAAAGGCACTTTGTTAAAGGAATAATATTGAGAATGCAAAATTCGATCTGAATTCCAAAACCCTTTTTTTTTCTCTATAAATACCGAAACTCGCCGCTTCTCACTCACACACACCACAGCAAAAAAAACAGAGGAAAATAAACAAAGAAGGGAAATCTCTCTCTCTCTGTCTCTTCATCTCTCATTCTTTCTTAGCTTCGCAACAATGGCGGACGAGGTGATTCTGCTTGATTTCTGGCCGAGCATGTTCGGTATGAGGACGAGAATCGCTCTGGCTGAAAAGGGAATCAAGTACGAGTACAGAGAAGAAGATCTGAGGAACAAGAGCCAACTGCTCCTGCAGATGAACCCGGTTCACAGGAAAATCCCGGTTCTCATCCACAACGGTAAACCGGTTTGCGAGTCTCTGATCCAGGTTCAGTACATCGACGAGGTTTGGTCGGATAAAGCCCCGATCTTGCCCTCCGATCCTTATCAGAGAGCTCAGGCCAGGTTCTGGGCTGATTACGTCGACAAGAAGGTAAAATTTAGGGTTTTGGATTTCTTGTTCTGGCTGGTTTTACCCTTGCTAGTGTCTGCAACACAGAAAAAATCTGAGCTTTAGAACTGGGCATTTCCTGAAATGGAAATTGGTATTACGGATTTTGTCATGTCATGGATTCCATATATATGCATGCACCATGTATGGAGAGTTCATGTTTGGGTCTGATATTGTTGGTACTGACTGGAACTGTGATTTTGCGTGGGAGCTCTGAAACTGGGTTTGATCTTGGGATTAGTTTAAGCCATGAGAAGCCATGGAAATTTCATGATAACGTAATATCTGTAATGAAATCACAGCTTCCAGTTCAGGCAAAACATGTTTTTAGCCATCTGTATGGCATTTACAAACAGTCTTTTAGCTCCAAAGCCTTGCCATCTGATGTCCAAAAGAGATGAACACTATGAATGACCATTGGCATTGATGATATCATGTTATTTTGGACAAATGGAATCAGATGTACGATCCAGCGAGGAGAATCTGGGCGACGAAAGGGGAGGAGCAAGAGGCGGCGAAGAAGGAGTTCTTGGAAATACTCAAGACGCTCGAGTCGGAGCTAGGAGAGAAGCCGTACTTTGGCGGGGACGAGTTCGGGTATGTGGACATTTCCCTGATCGGATTCTACACATGGTTCCAAGCCTACGAGAAATTCGGAAACTTCAGCATAGAAGCTGGGTGCCCAAAACTGATAGGATGGGCCAAGAGGTGCCTGCAGAGAGAGAGCGTGGCTAAGTCGCTCCCCGAACCTGAGAAGGTCACCGGGTTCGTGGCCGAGCTCAGGAAGAAATTCGTGGCCGAGTAGAGAGAGACGGGCTCGTGAGATCGGTCTTTAGGGCAAAGGGTTCGATCTCGATCAGGTTATATACGAACTGCTTGCGTTCTGTGTTCCGTGTCTTGTCTGTGCGTCTTCTGAATAACAACCAAGTATATGTTAAAAAAGCGTGTCTCTCTCTTACAAAACCTTAGATGGTTTCATTAGAGCGTTTTCACGCGTATTGCGTTTTCGATGTGATGATGTTTGTGTTGTTTCGTTTCGATGTTCATGCTAATAAATTCAACGTTTTGGGTTTGTTCGTACATTGATTCAATTATCTTTTGGCAGTGGCGGATATTATTTTGGTAAATGTTAATTTTATAATTTACCAAAAAAAAAAATGTTTGGACCAAAATGAGAAAAGCTGAGAGTGTTTCCTTGGACTTCACGTAATTTGGAAGCTAACATGAAATTAAAATATCGTTTTGGTCCCCCTCCCCTCCCTTCAAGACTCGTGGACACATGAACTCCAAAGATGATATTGTTGGACCATGTCATCTCTCAACTAATATCTTTTATATATATTTCATTTTATATTTTAATATCTAAATACTTTTTTCTCCATACATTCCAATATTTTAATATCATAATTTTTGTACCATCCAATTTTCAACAAGAATTACAGGTATGAAAACACCAAAATAACAATTAATAAAATAGATTAGTATTTTGTTACACTAATGTGATATATTTTTATTTCTAATAATATAATAATTTAATTTTTTTTTAAAAATTTATGTCTATAATAATAAGAATTTGATTGACACTTTAGTGAGGCATCCATTTACAAAAGGGACCACCACAATTGAGTTTCGCATAGCATGAAATGTACAAGAAAAAAACACATAAAATACAATTTCTATTGACTTGTGTACCGTCCCGAATTCGAATTTGAAATTATAAAAAAAATATATAATTTCAATCAAATGATTTGTTTTCAACTTTGGATTAGTCTGAATTTTATGATAAACGGTTATAAAAAAAATTATTTTTGTAGTTATAGATTTTTTTTTCTTTTTTAAGTTTGTTTGTGCAAATTATGGATGGATTAGGGGTTATTGATTGAAGGAATAATAGACACTACTCTATGTAATGTTTTGACAAACGAAAGCGACAAACAACCGAAAACAGTAATGACAAATGAATCCTTGTAACCACCCCCAAACCGGTATTAAAGAAGCTGGATGAGGGATTCGCAGATCGGTTTACCGTCTTGGATCAAAACCGGTATTTTCTTGTGAACCGGGTTCTTCTGCAGGCGCAACGAGTCTTTGCCACTGGAGTCAGTCAGAGTCGTGCCCAACTTCGAACGCTGGGGCTCAAAGCGATCAAGACAAGATCTCATCAGTTTGCCTGTGGATTTAGAAAGAGACGTGGACTTGATCAGATCCATTCTTGAAATCGATCTTTAGTGACACCCGGGTGTGGATTTCGCCTTTTTCTTCTGTTCATGTCTGAGAACATGATCGAGAATCAAAGATCCAAGTAGGGTTGATGAGTTTTCTTGTGGGTTAAGGAAGAGTTGTGGAATCTGAGTATACTCATTCATTCTTGCAATCAATCTTAAGACTCGGTGTTGGAAAAACCACTGCACGTAGATTGTTTCTGTTTTGTTCCATTGAAGTTGTTCCATCAATGTCGGAAAACGAACCGGGATAAAGGAAATCTGTGGTACCTTGTAAGCGGGAAAACTGAATAAAACCGTACATACATGGTCTTCTTCTTCAACGTCGAGATCAAGAAGAGCGAAAAAATTGTCTTCCAGTGGAGCTTTTCGATCTCCCTAATGAATCCCTCGTAATCTGTTTGCATTTTTCTCTCCATTAGGATCGAGCCGAGCTCCAAAGAGCAGAGAATTCTCCGGTTTTCATCTCTCGCAGCTCCTCAAATATCATAGCTATTCTTCTTGACCAGAATGACATCACCCTTCTTACCATAATTCTCGAGTTCACTGTCTTAACGTTAACCCCGAGAAGGTAGCAGTACCCTAGAGCTTGATCACTAGTTTCCTCTTCTTCTCTGAAGTCTCAGACTCATCATCTTCGTTTTGTTCTTTCCCCATGCCTCCATCATCCCATCCATTGTCATGCTTGTTTCAGGAAGATCAGTGCTTCTTAATATGATCACACCACACAACAACGACAATCCCTCAGGATCTTGAGTTTTTCAAGCTGATTATTGGGGGGAATGTTCTTCACAATCTTGGGGGCTTTGTGGGGGCAATGGAGGAATAGGATTGCCATCTGGATATATAGGATTCAGCGGTGAAGCACACAGTCTTCAATCAAATTTCAGCAGCGCATATATTATAAACCACGCATGAGTTCTTGCACGACAGTAAGCAGACATTGAGTTGTTCTTGTTTCTCCCCTTGGGTTCTGTTTCTTTTTCTTTCTTGTTTTTTTTATTATTTGGGGTGGATCAGTCTCGTGGGAGAAATATTAGGGACCGAAAATTTCAGCCAATTTCCTCCACAAAAAATAATTCATGAATAATCGAATTTCTTTTTTTTTCTTTCACAGACAATCGAAAATTATTATTCCTCTTTTTAACGCTTTTCTTGTATGGATTTTCGTATTTTGTTATTTTTTTCTTCGCATTTATATATATATATTTTTTTTCTGTGTGACTTATCGGAAATCCTAAAAAAATTTCAGGCATAGAAGCAGCCACACCCACAGCCTTCTCTTCTGTTATCCCCCGCCCTTCTTCCTCCACTTCATCTCAATCTCTCTCTCTCTGTCTCTAGATGAGATCGCCGCTTTAGGTTTGATTCGACTTCCAACTCCGAATCCCCTCATAATCTTCGGGGTTCTGCGTTTTCTTGCAACCGTTCGTGAGTAGAAGCACCCTCGATTTTCTTCTCTGCATATCCGAATTCTTCGAATTCTCGTTGCTCGAATGAGATAAATTTGGATGGTCTTTTGAAAAAAAGTGTTCGCCTTTCTTTCTGGGTTCTCTTGATTTCGCAGTGATGCAATCGATGCTGGTTCTACTCGGTACAATGCCGTCTCTGGTTAGTCTAGGTGGTGGTGCCGGTGTAAGTATCGTCGGAACTAGTTCATCGGATGCGTCCTATTCGTTAGTAAGGAGGGTTTCATTGTCGAGAAGGAAGTTTAAGGGAGCTAAGAAATGGGTGTGTAGATATTCTGTAACGAGTTCCACTGGTACAGCTGACTTCATTGCTGAACAAAGCAACTCTGTATCCATAGATTCTAACACGTTTAGAGCAAGTAAGGATGATGATGATGGCGAGATTGTGCTTAAGCCGGCTCCTAGACCTGTTTTAAACCCGCCCCCAGCTAAGGGAGGTGGGGTTTTAGGGGCGAATTCGGTGTCCTGGAAAAAGGAACCGTTAGATGAGGAAGAGGAGAGGAATAAAGTGATTGAATCTCTTGGCGAGGTGTTAGAAAAGGCGGAGAAGTTGGAGAATTCGAAGCCGATCCGGAAAGAGGGTAATGGGATTGGAGATGGTAAACCTTTGCAGTCAAATAGCAATCATAGTTTGAGAAATGGTAAGCCTGGGAGTTTAGGGGGCACTAGAAAGTCGAAGACCATGAAGAGCGTGTGGCGGAAAGGGGATTCCATTGCGATGGTGCAGAAGGTTGTTAAGGAATTGCCTAAAGTTGATAATAGAGGAGTTCAAAGGGAAGATAGACCGGAGGAGGAGGAAGGAGTGAAGTCACAAGCAATCCCTCCTCCGTTGAAGCCTCCTCAACCACCTGTAAGACCACAGCCAAAGTTACAAGGGAAGCCTCTGGTTACTCCGCCGCCGATAAAGAAACCTATCTTGAAGGACTCTGGTATGATTTCAAAACCTTCAGCTGTTGAAGGAGTTGATTCTGGCACGAAAAGCAAAGAACGGAAGCCAATTCTGATCGATAAATTTGCTTCTAAGAAACCTGCTGTTGACCCTTTGATCGCACAGACTGTTTTAGCCCCTAGGAAACCTGGAAAGGGCCCTCCCTCTGGCAAGTTTAGAGATGACTACCGCAAGAAGAACGCATCAACGGGTTCTAGACGAAGGATGGTTAATGATGAAGATATTGCTGATGAAGAGACCTCAGAACTCAATGTATCCATTCCTGGAGCAGCCAGAAAAGGGAGAAAATGGAGTAAAGCTAGTCGAAAGGCTGCAAGACTCCAGGCCGCCAAAGAAGCAGCACCAGTCAGAGCGGAAATCTTAGAGGTGGAAGATAAGGGAATGTTGATCGAGGATTTGGCTTACAACCTTGCCATTGGCGAAGGTGACATCCTTGCGTTTCTATATTCCAAAGGAATTAGACCTGATGGTGTGCAGACATTAGACCGGGAGATGGTAAAGATGATATGTCGGGAGTATGATGTGGAAGTCCTTGATGCCGATTCAGTTAAAGTAGAGGATATGGCAAAGAAACAGGAAATTTTCGATGAAGAAGATCTGGACAAGTTAGAAGAGAGGCCTCCAGTCATTACAATTATGGGTCATGTGGATCATGGAAAGGTAGGTTCTACTCACAATACTTTACCTCAAGTTCTGGCCATTCCATGGAGAACAAAATCACCTTTTTCATTTCAGCGGGGTTTTCCTAATGACATTTTTTATTTGGCAGACGACTCTTCTGGATCACATCAGAAAAAGCAAGGTATCCAAAACTTTAATCTTTATCTAAAATAATACGATTTTATATCTCTGCTTATTTATTGACAGTGGGAGTACTCTTTTTATTCATTCTTATGTTCTAATGTATTCTAAGTGTAACATAATTAGCAAAATGTCAAGCTCTCTTATCTGGATATGTGCAGGTGGCTGCTTCTGAAGCTGGTGGAATCACACAAGGGATCGGAGCTTATAAGGTGCAGATGCCGGTTGATGGAAAGATGCAGTCCTGTGTTTTCCTTGATACTCCAGGACATGAGGTAGATGCATATTTTTGTTAGGCTGTTTTTTCTTGACTTGTTCATCTCTGAGTTGAATGTTCATCAATCAAAATACCTTGGCATCCCTCCTCTCTATAGCATGGTTTCTGATGATTGGTTTTGGTAAAAGTATACATTTTTTTTGTATTCTCGTGTAGGCTTTTGGTGCAATGAGGGCTCGTGGAGCGCGGGTCACGGACATTGCAATTATTGTTGTTGCTGCTGATGACGGAATTCGTCCTCAAACGAATGAAGCAATAGCCCATGCAAAGGCTGCTGCTGTACCAATAATCATAGCTGTAAATAAGGTATCTGGTCTGCTTAGCACTTTTTTCCTTCTATAAAGAAATTGGGAAATAAATTCCACTGATTACCTTTCTTGTTCTTCTTTTGCTATGTTAATTCTGAGTTGCTCTCGTTCTGATTATTTTCCTGTATCAGATAGATAAAGATGGAGCTAGTCCTGAGAGAGTGATGCAAGAGCTCGCTTCAATTGGCTTGATGCCCGAAGATTGGGGTGGTGATGTGCCTATGGTTCAGGTCTGATTTTTTACTCTCTTATCCCGTCTTTGCTCCTGGCTCTGGCTCTGTATGTTAAATTGTTAATGCTTTTATTCCCTTTGACAGATCAGTGCCTTGAAAGGGGAAAATATCGATGATCTATTGGAAACTGTCATGCTTGTTGCAGAGGTATGCCTGCTATCGAGCTTTGTGACAACTTATGTGAATCGGAGTTTGCTGCTTCTATTTGTTTAATGTGTTCCTCCCTTTTAAATACTATAAAGTAGAAGTTATGAATTGGTTCACATTATGGCTCTAAATCAGGAGTCATGATCATCTTGCCACATGAAGTGCTTTAGTAAAGAACTAACAAAATCTTTTATCGCTAGGCCTTCCATGCATATTCTTCCTTGTCACTTTTATTTTTCATTAGCTGCTTTTTATGGGCTCTGGCTTTACCGTCATTGTTTCAGTTACAAGAGCTGAAAGCGAATCCCCACAGAAATGCTAAGGGTACTGTTATTGAGGCTGGTCTTGATAAATCCAAAGGTCCAGTTGCTACATTTATCGTTCAGAATGGCACTTTGAAAAGAGGGGATGTCGTTGTCTGTGGAGAAGCTTTCGGAAAGGTTTGTCTTGAATTTTAGTCTTTTGGCTCAATATACATGGCATACTGATATAATAAGATGGCTACTATTTAAGCTCTTGCCCCACCTTCTGTAACTCTGTTGCTGTATATAGGTGCGAGCTCTTTTCGACGACAGTGCTAAACGAGTTGATGATGCTGGACCCTCCATGCCCGTACAGGTTCGTATTTCCATAATCTTTTTCGTTTCCTTCATGCATACACTATTTGAAAATGCATCATAGTCTCTAATCAATAGTCCTGGAAAAGTCTATGCAGCAGATCACGTTCATTATCATGACTTTGGAATTATGTATTTCATTCTATCCATGATTCCGAGATCTGAAAGAGGATCCTCATTGCTTCTGCAGGTGATTGGACTGAACAATGTCCCGATAGCTGGTGATGTATTTGAGGTCATCTCCTCCCTTGACGCAGCACGTGAGATGGCAGAGGCACGTGCAGAGTCGCTGCGGAATGAAAGATTATCAGAAAAGGCTGGGGATGGAAAGGTGACACTTTCCTCCCTAGCTTCTGCTGTTTCGGCAAAGAAGGTGTCAGGCTTAGATTTACATCAGCTGAATATCATTTTGAAAGTTGATGTACAGGTAAAATACCCTTTTCCTTGCTCTTGATATTTCTTGTTACTCTATTAAAGGATTATCCCTGAATACTTTATTTCGATATAGTTTCTCGCAATATACTCAAGACGATACTCTTGCTTTGGTTTAGATCATGTCCATTCCCATTTTCATTTCTTCAACTTTTACTCAAAAAATATTTTGCAACAGCATCTAGTTCTAGCAAGAAACTTGTAGATTCTTCTCTAGACTGGTAACCTTGGTCCATCCTCACCCTCCTTTGCAGACATCATCCATCACAAAATGGCCATATTGTTTCTCTTCCTATTTATTATCATAAACTACTTATTGACATGTTTGTGTTAACATATACCTTTATTCGGTGTTCTCTTTATGTGCATGACTTATCTTACATCATCATTGTAATGATTAGGGATCCATCGAGGCGATAAGGCAAGCTCTGCAAATTCTCCCTCAAGACAATGTAACGTTGAAATTCTTGCTGCAAGCAACTGGGGATGTGAGCAGCAGTGATGTTGACCTAGCTGTTGCAAGTGAAGCCATCATTTTCGGGTTTAATGTCAAAACACCTGGTTCCGTTAAAAAAGATGCTGAAAACAAAGGTGTCGAGATCCGATTATACAGAGTTATCTACGATCTCATTGACGATGTCCGAAATGCAATGGAAGGGCTTCTTGAGCCTGTCGAGGTTAGCATCGGGTTTTTCTAGAACTTTCTGGAGCCTTTCTTCTAATCTAATCTCAGCGAAAATTTGTTTATGGTTATCAGAAGAATATACAAATCAACCCTTTTTTGAACTTGTCACCTTCCTAAGTGAGATTTTCAGTGTCTCCATATGTAAATATTTCGATCTTCCTCCATTTGTTTTTTTTTCGACATGGGTATTGGTTAGGAACAAGTGCCGATTGGATCAGCGGAAGTTCGGGCTACATTCAGCAGCGGGAGTGGCCGAGTGGCTGGATGCATGGTAAACGAGGGAAAACTTGTCAAAGACTGTGGCATTAAGGTCATTCGGAAGCGGAAAACTGTCTATGTCGGTGTTCTTGATTCTCTCCGGAGAGTCAAGGAGGATGTCAAAGAGGTAAAATCTCGAAACTTTTTTGGTATTTTCCCAGAGATCTGATCATTCCGGGATATATACATATATATAAGCTCTGTTTTTAAGAATCTTGACGTTATTACTACTACCGGCTCAGGTGAGTGTCGGGTTAGAATGCGGTATCGGTGCAGAAGACTACGACGATTGGGAAGAAGGCGATATCATAGAGGCTTTCAACGCGGTTCAGAAGAAGCGAACGCTCGAAGAAGCGTCCGCTTCAATGGCTGCTGCAATAGAAGAAGCCGGGATTGGGCTTTAAATCCGCCCCTCATCTCGAGAGGTAAACGAAAAAAACTTTGTAACGGGGAGCGACCACAACTACAGAAACGGGCATTTTCCGGTCGAAACTGAGCTCCAACAGTTGAAGCTTTAGCAGAGGAGACTCTCATGGTGGATTTGGATTCAGCGGTTGAATATCATGGCTGAGTGTTTGGGACTTTATGAGCTTCTCTGGTCACTGTTTGGATCAGTTTGTATGGTAGTAACTTTGTATAGCTAATGCCTTTTTTTTTGGTGGTCGGAACCAAACATCCTCGGAAATGAATTGTAAAAGTGTTTCCTCATATGTGATTGATTATATATTTAATATACATATATAGGCTGAAAGAAAATCGAATTTCTTATACCAAATATTAAGTGGGAAGCTCAAGTATTGTTTAAGATGTAAAAAACAGTAAAATAACATTTTAGTTTCTATGCTATAGATATTACATACAAATCTATTAAATTTTTTGAATTCGTATTTAGATAAAATATATTTGAAAAAATAAATTAATAAATTTATATTTTAGATTTGGGTTTGGATAGTTATAGCCATCCAAAAATGATCACATATTGACTTTCCAGAATCAAATAATATCTCAATATTAGCGTAATTAAGTAAAAAAAATGTACATTAAATTTTGTTCACGTGTTCAGATTTGGTTTGGGAAATTATTTTCTTGAAAACTTGACAACCCTAGGTTCCTCTTTCACTATTACACAATCATTTTACCCTCGAAGCTATACAAAGTTACAAAACATACAACTTTCAATAATGGATCGGACATATATCACTGAAGGGGGCAGTGCGTGTGAAGACAGACATCACTTGTATCAGCCATCATCTCCGGAACAGCAAACCTGGGAGCAACACTCGAAGCAGGCGATGAAGGCGACTGCCGAGAAAAGCTGGGTGAGAACGATAACGCATTGATCGTTTAACTTGGAGCAGCATTGAATACAGCACACGCAGCAGCACTTGTTGCACATCGAGGAGCAGCAACTGGACGCCGCTTTCACAAACATCTCTGCAGCGTCCGGCGGTTTCTGCCCGTTGAAACCCGGTTGAACGTTCTCTGAGGTCGCTGTTTTGTCCCCGAAACCTATTCCTAGGGGTTGAAGCGGAATCGTCCTCGACACCATCTTCTGTGTCTCGTTGTCAACCTGTTGAATACCCTAGCGATAAGCAACAATATGTATGGTTCAACCCAACAAATTAATACCACATAATAACCAAATAGAATTCACTCGGAACATGTTTGGAAGAACTGAGGAGGTTTTGATGGAATGGAACAACAATAATCAATCTGTTCGCTACTGTGCAGTTGGAGAAAGAGCAATCAACATGAACTGCGGGATGAGTGAGGGGCATATTACCTCATAAGACCATCTGACCCGTTAATCCTAGTAAGAGAGTATAATTCCGACATTCTGAAATTTCAGCTAATAGATATGGGCATATACCTTTTTCATTCTGGCTGTCTCTTTGGGTTTTGGTCCTTCAATGTTCTCCAGTAAGATCATTCGAGTATACTCTGATGGTACGCCAGTTTGGATGCTTAATTTAGCAATCTGCGTAGGAAAAGACAAATGAAGAAACCCGAGATGATAAACAAGAAGAGAATTTTTAGGACTGAACCATTAAAGAACACCTTTTCTTGCAGCCCTCTGTCTTCAGAGAGCCACGCCTCAGTAGTAAGCATGTCAATAACATTCTTTGCAAGCACCTGTTTAAGCAGCTTGGTTACACCGGTCAAGTAAAATATCCTCGAATCAACACTTGAAATGTGCAGTCAAGAAGCATGAGATCATAAATAAGGAGATCTTACCTTGTCAAGAAGCATGTCTTTCGCATTTTGCACAGTCAAATCTATGGAAAAGCTGCTAAAATCTCCTAGCAGACCCTTGGCTTTAACATTTTCAGGAAACTTTCCACGACATCTTCCAGATATTATCAATGGACTTGCAGAAGACAGGTCTGGAATGTTTGAAGGATACACCTGTTATAATGACAGAGAACTTTAGTTCTCAAGCATCAACTTGAGAATAAGAATCCATTATTAACAAATTCAAGAAACTGAAGTTTGTAAGAAAAGTGCAGAAAGCAATTTCAGCATGTGGTGTTCAGAAGAAAACCAAAGCAGACTTGGCAGAGAGACACTTAAGCAACTACGTCAAACCATATGCCTCTCAAAATGTGCGTATTATTAGCCCACAACTCACGTTATTGGAGAAGTATGATGAACATATTAAGAAAGCTGAATTAACCATTCTTGACAAGGCAATAGAATATCAAATTCACTGTAAAAACAACACGATACCTCAACTTCATCTAGATTCTGAAGGGGCTCAATTGTTACATTCACAAGGATGGTGGAAAGAGCTTTGTTAAAATGTTTCTCCATCCTTTCTTCAATGTGATCTGACCACCAAAAAAGAAAGTTTAGAACATATAATGGAAAGGGAAGGCCCAAACTTTGCAGTTTTCCCACTTAACCAAAAAGGAGTTGAAAAAACAAAACATAAAAACTAGAATCATTTGCATAAAATAAAAGGATTCAAATTTTCATGGAAAAACAGCTAAATCCAAGTTGTGAAACAATTAACTTTTCAGAACTTCGAAGGCAGAAATCCCACAAAAGTTCGGTCAAATTCTCATGATTAAGCATCATACACAAGTAAAGCATTAAAAAGTCACCTGTATCATAAGCAGCTTCGTGTTGACCTTTGGAAATATTTGCAAGCATTCGCAGGAAGTAGTGATTACAGTATATACCTGAAATATTACAGGGTCACCTAATTAAATAAATGTGTTACAAGTTATGCAAACCGAGCCACCCAAAAACATAAACACTTGAAGATTGAATGGTTATGTCAAATCATTTTTTCACAGTTTGCAATTTTGTCACAATTTATGGAGAGTTAAATAAAACTATAAAAGTAACCATAATCACTAACATAAACAACACGAAAAAAGTTTACCTATCCCAAAAGTGTATATACGTGGATACAAAGATCCAGAACTTTCAAGACGTTTCTTGATTATGTTACTGATGTGTCTCTCGTCTTCAACAGACCCATCAGTTATGAAGAAGATCATAGGAACAGAGCCACGAGTATTGGACAGCATCTCCACTGCCTGGAAGTATTGAGCCAAGGATCAAGGATCACCCAAGGGGCAAGGATGGCCAAAGAGTTAAGTTTCAAAAAATACAAGTGAGTGATGGAAGATGGACCTTTTCAAGAGGAGGAAGCATCGACGTACCACCAGCAGCAACAAAACTATCATTCATCCACTGAATGCTCCTTTCTACAGCCTCTTCTGTAGCCGACTCCATTGATGTCGAAAACAGAGAAGAATTATCACTGAAAGTGATAATGTTGAAGGCATCTCCAGCACTCAGCTTAGATAGCGCTGTGGATATTGCATTTTTTACATCCTCAAGAGATTTTCCGCTCATGCTTCCACTTAAATCAACAACAAATACCACCTCCCGTTTGAACACCTGAACTACACAAGAGAAATCCAAGATTGTAATGCAAATGCACTGTGTGCGTAGGGAACATCCATCGGACCCAAAAAAGTATTAAAATTGGACCTTAGTTCTTTGCTGGCTTCCTGGTATAAGATAGATAGAGAATATGTCTCTCTGATCAACATCATGAACAGGCGGGGATTGAAGAAAAAGCCCACCAACTATGTTGCTTGAAGAAACCTAGGACAAAAGCATACAAATGTTTTACCAATAATATTCAATGAAATATATGCAATTGCAGAATCATAGGACCCTCATGTGTTCAGAGCAGTAAAAATAAAACATCTGATTAGGTCTCGTACAAAATAGGCAAAATCAGGCACATATTTTTACCACATATGAAAAACTGAAGTCGGTGTTTGACCATTTCAGAACATCTGCTTCATATGAGAACCCCAACCTTCCAGCATTTCTCATTTTTTCCTGTAAAACGGGAAGCGAGTAGTAAAGTCTATGATAGGACTTGAGGAAACAGTCAAAATGTCATAAATTAGGTCCTGAAAATCTAATATGCACCTTTAGAGGATGACTGCTCCCTTTGCAGAGAATTTCAGTTCCAGCACCAGCATTAAGATTCAAGTGTATCTTCTCTTTCTTTGAAATTTTCTTTACAGCAGGAGTTACATACTCTGGAAAGTTGAAAGGGACATCGACAGAAAACTGTCCATCCACATACAACAACTTCTGAGACCAAGACATTTTAATACAAAGGTTCGTACCCCCGTCAACCTGGAGACAACAAAAGAAAGGGAAAACAGGTAAAACACAGTTAGATGACAGCGAATAAAAAGTATCAGCTGTTTTAAAAGCACATTCTTACAGAAACTCTCAAACACCTGTGGTATTGTCAAGGTAAATATGTTTGGTTTCAAGAAGCCTCCATTCTCAGGTCGAGCATTTTTCTCCATTTCTTTGCCGTCTTCAGATGTGACCAACTGAGTGGTGTATGATTTTCTGGGGATCTCAACCTCAACACCTAGAACGAAACCCTGTTAGCCAAAGCAGCAGCTTCAGATTGTTAAGCAAACAGAAAAAAAAATATGAAATTGAGCTAGAAACAGCAAAATTCAGACTACTGAAATAGTATCAAATTATCAGATCTTCAACATTTCAGAATTCTTCGTCCTACATAGTCTAGGGTTGCATCCAATTACCAAATTACACTAAATGACAAAGAATGGGGGTCAATCGCTAATCAATCTCTCGATTCCAAATCAAGGTTACGTGGAAGAAACAAAAGCCCATAAGTGCACTAAACAAATTTCCAGATTAAACAGACAAATCCAATGCCAATGTTCGATTTTCCGGGAAACTTTATCCGAACCTGTTCGCCCATGGGAATAGCAATTCGGCAATCACAGCTCCGGCTTCCCATGACACAGTGGACCCGCCACGAACCCGTAACCCGAATCAGAGCCGTGTCGAGGTAACAATCAACCTCGAGCTCAACTGCGTTCATCTGCAACGGGATCAGAGCCGGTGGATCGCACCTCCCATGAACGTGGGGCTGGTAGCTCGGAAGATCCGGATTATCTACGATTGCCGGGTCGGATATAACGGCGTAAACCATCGGGGCCGTCGGAAGATACGCCGTGGAAGATGACCGCTCCATCACCGGCGACGGGAGCGGTGCCGCCGCAACCAACCGGTCATTGCCGAGATAAACGCGCTTGGCGAGCTTGAGGCCATCCTCGACGGCCTTAGTGAAATCCTCCGCCATCTTCACACAGCGGAGAGACGGCGAAATCGATGATTGGGTTCTCCACTCGGTTTTCTATTTTCCTTTCCTTTCAAATCGGAAACGACGTTGAACGAAAGAGACGGATCACTTTAAAGTCGGGTCCTTTTTTTCCAGCTAATATATCCGTTACAGTTAATTTCCTCAACAAATAATAATGAGAACAATTAATTTTTTTTTATTATAATATTTGTTTTTTTTTTCCATTTTCCAATGGACACGACACATGCAATGCACCGATAGGTGGAGTTAGGGGTGGTCAATTCGGGTTTCGGTTCGGGTTCGGTTCGGTTATATTCGGTTTCGGTTATTTCGGTTATAGAAAAACTATAACCATTCGGTTTTATATAAATTTCGGTTCGGTTCGATTCGGTTATTTTTCGGTTCGGGTTCGGTTCGGTTTTGGTAAAAAGTTCAATTTTTCAAAGAAAATTGTCGGTTATTCTCTCGGTTTTTTCGGTTATTTTTTATTCGGTTCGGTTTCGATTTCGGTTTTTCGGGTTTAAGGAAATCATAACCGTTCGATTTTGATGTCGGGTTCGGTTCGGGTACGGTTATGTCTTATTCGGTTCGGTTCGGTTCGGTTATTCGGTTAATAACCGAAATGGTCACCCCTAGGTGGAGTCATGAAATTATCTTTCCAAATTTCTAACGGTCAAAGATGAGTATGAGATGCAAAAGAACCAATATAGCCGTTGTTGTCCGAAAATGTTTTTTTTTTGTCCGAAGAGTAATTCAATTATTTTTTGTTGGCATTTTGATAATTATCGTTTGTCAATATATTTTTCTCAATGTAATAAAAAAATCTTATAGTGGAAATAATTTGAATATGATAACTTACGTGTTAATTAATTCAAGATTGGTGGAATCAAATCAAATAATCATACTACGATGACATATATTTTTTAGTTATCTCATGTTTTTTGTGTAAAAAAGAAATTTTAATTTGTATTGTTGTTTATTAATAATTAGAACTTTAATTGGCCGTTACAAATTTTAAAAAACGTATGGCAACTCCAACGTCTCTTATTCAGTCCCACTATTTGACATATTTATTATTGGTATTGGTATTGTAATATTTAGTGGTGACTTGGAATATTATGGTGTATGGAATAGTAATTTTGTATCTATAAATCTATATATATATATATATATATATATATGTGTGTGTTTTATATCAACACCACATCCACCGCCGCATAAAAACGCTACTGATTCGTACATGGCACGCCCAGTCCTGCTTGATGTTACGTCGTCGAAGAATTCTGTTGAGTATCTGATTAGAGATTTTAATTTTGGTTTTCTTTTTCTTTTTTTCTCTTTTATATCGTTCGTGTTAAAAATAACTTTTCTGAAAAACATTGAATCTGGATTTCAGTTATGTGATGCACGAGTTGGCACATAACCCTTCAACTGGCTCAAACTTTTCCTAGATTCTCCATTAGGTTTTGTATCAAAGTTTACACATTTGAATTGGATGTTGATTCAGAGTATTAGAAAAACGCATGAAAAAGATATTAATAAATCATAATTCTCCAACAAATTAATATATAATGTTAAATGCGTTAATAGAATGGTACCAAACATCTCCGTCATCGACAAATGGATTGGCACCATAGGCTTTGTCGTCGTTGTCGACAATTTCAATAACTTTCTCACCACTGGATTGTCCTCCGTAGCATAATATATAATAGAAAATATAACTAAGAGAGAATATGATAAGACAATACCAAATTAATTAGAATTGTGATTTATTCCAACGTACCTTCTGCTTGATCTAGAACTCGAAATATCATTTCTAATAAGATAGCAAGGAAAATTATTGAAATGATGAAATGGAATATTGAAAACAAAGACAACTTACAAATATTTCTTCTACAAAGCGTTCTTGGATTCATCTTCAACACGTGTATCATAACCCTTTCCTTAGAGTGTAATAAATATAAACTTGTCTATAAAGAAAATGAAAAGGTATCATAATGAGATTTATTGTAACAACCTCTACATGACTATGAATGGCATATTAATATGTCATTAACTTTGAAATAGGTGGAGCTTACGTTTTTTTCTTTACCCTATATTCATTTAATTATTTTTTTATGGTATATTAAAGGTTTTTTATGTGTAAATCATTATGATTAAACCTTTACCATTAATCACTCCATCCGTTTTATAATGTAGATATTTATTAATACCACCTCTAATTATTTATAAATGCACCATAATTATATTTTTTTTATTTAGAAAAATAAGAAATAAAATGTGTAATATATATAGAAATTAGTGAACCAATGAGAATTAAGAAAATTGACATGTACGATGGTGATGAGGTGTACTCACCAAATTACTCCATTCACATTTTACACCCCTTTCTTAGCTCTAAAACGGCACGAGCCATTGAGAAGAACAGCAGAGCGTGTCGATCACGAAGTTACAAACGGCACGATAGTCATAAAGTCAACGGAATTTCGTTGACTGTCGCTTAGGAACGGCAAGATGTTTTTATTACCAATGGGGCAGTTATTACGCGGACCAAATCTCGAGCTCCTATTGGTCACAGCACGTCACGAATCAGACAATTCCGAATAGGCTTAGGCGTGTGTAACTCAGACGCCCGGCGCAGAAACGTCAACATTGAAAATCGAAACGTACAATACAATGATCGATCTTCAGACAGAAAGGGTTTTCCAAGGACCCGACCTGAGACCGGAAAAACGTGTTCTTTGTGGATAATTTTTTTTTGCTTCTGATTTTAGGTTGCTTTGGGTCATGGCAAGAGGGGCCATCAAAGAAGAGAGAGAAGAGAGGAGAAGAAGATGGAAATGGGCGTTAGGAGCTTTCGTTGTGGTGTTATTGGCAGTCGCAGTGAGCTCGAGGGCTGCTTCCAATGTCGGTCTCTTGTTCGGCGATCGCAAATCCTGTAGCTGTTCTCTTCAGGTTTTAATCTCTTTGACCATTTTGCTTTTTCTGGTGGATTATGGTTTTTGCTTGATTTTGTCCTGGGTTTGATTTTTCGATTTTGTCAAGTCTTGGCCATTTTTCCGATCATTTTCTCCACATTTTCCCGAGTCTATGAAGTTCATTCTCCTGTTGGAGACTAGGATTGAGTGAGGAATTTCGCTCGGCGCCGTTTGTACAGCTTGTTTTTTGAGTGTCGAAGGAATGTTTGATGAACACAGAGATAAATTGTGGAATATTCCATTGTTAATGGTAAAAAAGTTTGATCCTTTTTCCTGTGTATGTGATTAATTGTGAATTGTGATGACATTGATTGGTGGGTTTTGTGAAAATTGTTCTTTTTGGAGCAGCGGTCAATCCCATTGCAATTAGTTTGCTTCAAATGTGCTTGAAGTTTTAACCTTTCAACGCAATATGTGATTGTGGGTGTCGTTCTCTGCAATGATTAGCCGTCAAAGAATTCAATTCTTCAGTTATTCAGGTTCAGATTGTTCAGTGGTTGATTATTTTCTGATCCTGAAATTTCCATTTGTTACATACAGGGTTCGGGTAAATACAAAGGTATGATTGAGGGCTGTTGTTGTGATTACGAAACAGCTGATAGCCTCAATACTGAGGTTCTACACCCTTTGCTTCAAGAGCTCGTCACAACACCATTTTTCCGGTACTTTAAGGTTGGTGGTTCTTTTCATGTTAGAAAGTTCGATAATGTGGAACGAATATGAGGCCGAGTCTGAGTCCTTTGGGTCCTCTAAAAATGTATACGAGTCTCTCTTGATAATGCATTGTACACTACGGTAGCATGTTAAATGTGGATTAAGTTATTCCTGAATCAATGCTGGAGGATTTTGTCTTTGTATACTGTAATCATCTGTAGGTCTAATGATGATTAGAACTGTTTTACAATTGACACCGGATGCCTTGGTCATTACAATCAATACAATTACTATCTAATATTCTTATGATATATTATGACCTTGTGTGGTCGGTTTTCTTCATATGTGAGTAGGTTAAACTGTGGTGTGACTGCCCATTCTGGCCTGATGATGGCATGTGCCGCTTGCGTGATTGCAGTGTCTGTGAATGTCCGGAGAATGAGTTCCCGGAACCTTTTAAAAAGCCATATCGGCATGGTCTTCCTTCTGATAATCCGGTTTGTCAAGAGGGAAAACCAGAATCAACTGTGGACCGTACTATAGATAACAGAGCTTTCAAAGGATGGGTCGAAACAGATAACCCATGGACGCATGACGATGAGACAGATAATGGTACATATAGTAGTGGTTTTCGTTATACCATTCCATTATGTTGCTTCTCTATGTTGTTGTTATGTTCATGTATTGATGATGGAAATTTAACTTCAGGTGAGATGACTTATGTTAATCTTCTACTAAATCCTGAAAGGTATACTGGTTATATCGGTCCATCAGCTAGAAGGATATGGGATGCAATATATTCAGAGAACTGCCCAAAATGTGAGTGTTTTACCTATCTTATTGGTATGATTAGAACTGATTGGTGATGACATTTTCATAGTAGATGAAGTAGGTTTCTAATTTGATTCTGTGGAATACAACTGTTTACGCAGATTCTTCTGGGGAGATCTGTCCAGAGAAAAAGGTTTTGTACAAGCTAATATCTGGTCTCCATTCTTCTATCTCAATGCACATAGCTGATGATTATCTTCTTGATGAGTCAAGCAACCAGGTTTGTCTTCCAGAACAAAATATCCCCTCTGTCTACACGAGAGTATTATCGGTTCATAGCAGCTGACATGTTTTCTCAAATACAGTGGGGACAAAATATCGAACTGATGTATGATCGAGTTCTGAGATATCCGGATCGTGTCAGAAATCTGTACTTCACTTATCTCTTTGTCCTACGCGCTGTAACTAAAGTAAGTCACTGTATGTCAGTCTTGGGAATTTCAACTTGGCTTGGCTTCCATTATAATTTTCATCACTGAACTTGATGTCTTTCAGGCAACAGAGTACTTGGAGCAGGCAGAGTATAACACAGGCAACCATGCTGAAGATCTAAAAACACAATCATTGATTAAACAGTTATTGTACAACCCGAAACTCCAGACAGCATGCCCTGTTCCGTTTGATGAAGCTAAGCTGTGGCAAGGTCAAAGTGGACCAGAACTGAAGCAGCAGATCCAGAAACAATTCAGAAATATAAGGTTTTCATCTGTGTTCCTTGAAAACTAACTACTTAGCTAATAGCTGCCATCTTTCTTACCAAGGCCTTCTGTAAAGAACACTCAAGAGTGGTAATACTGCTAATATGGCTATGTTGCAGTGCACTGATGGATTGTGTAGGATGTGAAAAATGCCGGCTTTGGGGGAAGCTTCAGGTTCAGGGTCTGGGAACAGCTTTGAAAATTCTCTTCTCGGTCAACAATCAGCACATGGGTGAACATATTGTGAGTTCTCGAATGCTATGCACATCGTCTCTACAGGTATATACATGTCTATATAACATCTCTAACATCAACTTAAAATACCCATTCATTTCAGCTCCAACTGCAAAGGAATGAAGTGATTGCACTGGTGAATTTGCTCAACCGCCTTTCAGAATCGGTGAAAATTGTTCATGATATGGGACCCTCTGTGGAGCAGATTATGGAAAAGCAGACATCTAATGTAATGGTTCAACATGGAAGATTGAGAAGAATATGGGATTCAGCCGTCGCCTTCTGGTGATTCGCATTTCCTTTGCAATAACCATATCTTTGATTCATCTTTATCACATCCCACTGAAGATATATGTGTTCTGTCATCAATGCAGGCCAGGGAGATCACCGTCGTGACTAACTAAGCAAATATTTGACGAGTTCATACACTGGATTCTGGTAAATGAGAAAAGAGAAGGTATAGATTCTTGAGGTTACAAATGTAGACATGCAGAAGCATAGATTGGACTCGAAGAACCTCGATATCATGTAATGGAGATTTCTAGTTTCTTAAACAGAGATTGCACATTTTTGGGGTTTGGAAAGTAAAATTATCTTTGCTGATGCCTGATCGTGATGTCTGGTTATAATTCTGTGTTTCTTCATTGCATGTTGATGAGCATGACTGAGAACATAATTCTACTAAAGAAGAATCACAAGTGATGAGAATTACAATACATTTCTCTCTTGTGATAAGAATTTCACAAGTGATGAATCTGTGGTTTGTGATCTGAATGCCATAGCCTCTGCCAGCACAAGAAGATGTGTTCAACTAAAGATTCAAGCAATCATCAAGCTTTCATAGAAAGAATACACAACTCACAAAGAAATAGTGATATGTACAGTAAGGTTAATCGACACAAACCACACAAATGGAAAGGATGATAAGCATCAATCATCCCATAGAATGAAAATGGATTAACAGTGTTCAAACCCATCTGTCTTTCTCCTTTTGAATCTGTCTCTGTTGGGTCTCCTTTAAACCTGCTCTACGAGCATTGGTTAGCAGTACTCTTTGAGCTAATCTTCCTCTGCTTCCTATGGAGACTCTGACCTTCTCCATTCCGACATTTATGCCTCCTCTTCTCAAGTGATGCTGTCTTGGGGATGTCCTCATTTGCATCCTTTTGTGCAGGCTTCGTCTTAGTATACTGCTAAGCATCTTTCCATTACTTTTTTGTAGCTTTGGACTGATGCAATGAACTTGATCAGGACAGTTTTCCTCCTCAGTGATCCTGTCAACTCGGCGTGGTGCCATTAGAGATGAAGGTGATGGAGTTGGGATGAAGGGGAGTGGAGCAAGGGAACTCCTCCTTGGAACCGGGGCTGGTGGGACCCTTTTCGCAAAGGTGCAAATGGAGGCTCTTCCTGTCCTCTTGGGTACTCGCATTTGCTCAATCGCTTCTGGGTTGTTCTCTTTCTCCATGAGGTCAATGTATTTGAGACTACCATCAGATGTAGGGAGAGGTAAAGGAAGTTGATTGTAGGTGTTGTTCTCAGAAAGCGGTGGTCGGGCTGGATTTACAGTCTCTTTCAGAACTGCTGCTTCATTTGAGTTCCAGTTGCTTCCTAGGACTCTGTTTGCTAATTGTGGATTTGTCGGTCCATTGTTTTCATCCTCATTCTGCTGGATTGCCTTCTGCTGCTGCTCAGCAATCTTGGTGTCCACATGTTGACGAGCTAATTTCCTCTCCACCAGCAGTTGCAATTCAAGTTCTTTGACCTACAAGAAAAGACAGATTTGATGATTTCGGAGAAGAAGATATATTCTCTGCCAATTTTCCCAGTTTAAGCTGAACTTCTTTTTTCACCTTATCTTGGAGCGTCTTGTACTTAGCATCTCGTTCCTTGATCTTTGATTCTAAACCGTAGATTACTTCCTCCATTTTCTTCATTTGCGTTTCTTTTCCTTTCATATCTTGCTTTGATTTATCAACCTAATAGGCAGAGAATCAAGTCATACTACGTGAACCAGCTTGAACGACCCGATATGCAGAGGTGGTGGAGATGTCCATTAACGTACCATTTGCTTGTATCTCAAGAGTTCAGTATTGTCCAACTGCCTCTTTGCAGGCCCCAGCTCTATCCCTCTCACCCTGCTAGCAAAATTCAGCGAGCATAGTGTCTCGCTGAGGTCTTTCTCATTAGGACTGATTTGCACGAACATGAGGGTCTTCGAGTCTCCTCCTGTCAAACACAAGTTCAATTTTCAGAACTTCCTGACACAGAAAATGTAAGTATTTCAGGTATCTGCAACTTCAGCTGCTGTAATCAAACCCTTGTTAGGTACCTAGAGAATCTTGAAGCAAGTGGGTGAGCTTTGAATTTCTGCAATAGAAATAAAACTAAGGGTTAGAGTCCATGAATCATGATAACAGTAAGCTTGTTCATTAACAGAGTATATTTGACATCAACCTGAAAGGAATATGAGGGCTTTTGTTTGCAAGAGCAAATATGACATCACCGAGGGCAGACAATGATCTGTTAATGTTCTGAGTCTCCTTAAGTCGTTCTCCTTGCACTTCTGTCTTTGCAACTCGTTCACTTCCTGCTAAATCCACTAACCAAAGTTTGCTCTTTGTGCATTCTCCATTCAACAAATTCTCTCCTCTCACCATTACACAGTGAATGCTGTGGCAAAGAAAGGAAGGAAAAAGTCACTTAGTCAGTAGATGGTATGAATAGTTTTGTGACAGTGTGGATCAGTCTGGATCGGATGAGACACCAGTGAGATCGGCTGCTATGCTCATTAGCAGTTGTTGATCCAACAGCCCTACCACTGCTTCCAGCTTTCAGAACATCCCAGACCTCGTCTATGCTTCTTACACGTGCTTCAACCAAGCCTGGTACATGGTGGATTCCTTCACTTACTTGCCTTATCTCGAGTCTGCAGAGGACAATGACATGATAATTTAGCTATAGATCACTGAAAGTGACTACTAGAACTAATTCATATTCACAGAGACTAAACAACCAGAAATTTCGGAGTGGGACATCTAGAGTCAAAGAAAGAACCAAGAAGTAAATAAAAAGTAAAGGTTGCCATACTTTCTTGCCGCCGGTGCAATGTGAGAAATTGGGACCAGTAAATCTCTTATTTGCTCATTGTAAACTTCCAAGACACTGACTGAGATCTCATATTTGTATAGATTTTCTCGTTCTTTAACTATCTGAAATAGTTTTTCAAGTGTTCTGTAATTCACACCCCGGTCATTCACTGTTCCTTCCATGGTAAAGGTTTTCCCTGCACCGGTCTGGCCATAAGCAAATACGCAAACATTGTATCCATCGATAACTGATGTGGCAAACGCAGCAGTGTCTTCGAAAACATCAGCTATAAATCAGGAAAGAAACAAAGTGCATTAGTGAGATTAAAAACAGAACAAAGTAGGAGCATAAGGTAAATGACCTATGTATATCAAAGATCACCTTGGGAAGCTTGAGGACCAAAAACAGCATCGAACTTGAAGGTTTTCTTGGGAACCCCATTTGACATGACTACGAGTTCTCCATCTTTGGCCGACTCGACATCAAAAGCCAAAGAAGTTCCTGCCGCAATTTCGTCAGAGTTTAAGGGCCGACATCTACAAAAGACCCTGATGTTTCCTGGAAGAAGACACCAGGATTAATATCAGTTGTAAGGCTGCTCACATTCCTTAGGCAGATCCCTCTAGAGTTCACATCCACTAAAAAATTAAAAGCAAACCTTTCAGCTCTAGAATCTTGTTGTACAGTTCCTTCCTTTCTTTTTCTCCTCCAACAAATTTGACTTTGAGATCTTCATGCAACTCTGCTTGCTGTTTCACTGTTGGAAAAGAATGCCAATGGATTAAAACATCATGGAACGTCATGTTTACGAAACCTTGGTGGGTTATAGACATATATTATAACAGCACAGAGTTCGTGAAAACTTACTTTTCGACTGGATTTGAGAGCCCATTTCATTCATATCTTTGGCTAGCATTTTGTATGTGGAGGCCTCCTCCAATAGCTTAATTTGCTCCATTTTCATAATCTACAAGTCCAAAGATGTTGTATGATGCGTATAATTTATCACGTAATGAACCGTTACATCATAAGTTAGTTTCTCTGTACCTTCAATTTTCTTGTCAAATCTCTTAATGAAGAGAACCATCTGCTCTTCTCTTTGACTTGGCCCTCGATGGCGAAAGCTGGATATACAAACAGCATAAAGACAATTTTCAGGTTTCCAAGGAAGAAGAAACAGAAAGCAAACTGGTATACACATACCCAAAGAGCCAACATGCATCGACTTCCGCATGAGTTCATTTTGAAGCTCCCGGAGAGAATTCCAGGCATCCTCAGATTCTTTACTCTTAAGTTGATTCTCTTGCTTAAGTTCTTCCACCATTCTCCTCGTTTCTGCTAACTCTTTCTTCTGGCTCTCATAATCACTTCTCAATTTTTGATGTTCATTTTCAGCCATGCAGACACCCATATCCTGAAACATGGTTCCTTTTTTAAGCAAATGCAACCTCATGACCTCTCAAAATAATCTATAAAATAGAGAACTTGTAGAAGAATTCTTACTTCTGCTGATTGAGACTGAACAGTGTCAATTGTATCTTCAACCTCCAGTGGTTCAGCTTCTTCAACATCTGCAAAATGATACTTTGACTAAGAATTCTTAAAAGTTCAAGAATGTTGGATTCCAGCCGGTAAGTTCAAGGATGTAATGAACTCAAACTTTCAGTTGGTTCCTAGCAAAATTAATTCTCCCGTACCAAAACTCAAATAAAAGAAATAAGTTCTTGTCGAAGATGCAAAAGAGAGAAACGAACATACATGTACTTATTCCATCTTTCCTAATACAAATGCCACACAGAATTGGGATCCCTGTCACTCCTTCGAATCTGATTGATAACTCCCCTTTATGATCAACTAGCATCCTTAAGTCTGCTATCACAAGAGGTCTGTTTGCTCCTACTTGAGCAAATAAATCCAAGCAGGATATGACCTACAACAATGATCAGCCAATCATAATCAGATCAAGCAAACATGTGATGTGGGAAAAAAACAAAATGAAAGCTTTATCCTGCAATACTTGCCTTCGCTCCTTGAATAAATATATCAAATGCTCGAATCCCAGGCGGGCCATCGATGAACTCAATTTCAGCAAAATGCAGGTCTATTAAGTAGTCACCAGGCTCCAAAGACTGAAACTTGTAAGAGAAGTTACCAGATCGAGCTGTTTGGTACAACAGGAGCTCGTCTCCTTCACCAACAGCAGCATCAGTTCTGATAGTTTCACCCCCACTGAAAAATTCATCCTTCGAGAAATTTACATCTCCCACTGTCACAGTTTCACTTGTAGAGCCCGAGTTGATACTTATGATAGGACTTGAACCCTCCCTGAAATGGTCGAGTGGATGAGGTAGCTCGAAGGAAGACTCGGGAGACAACTCGTAGCCGAATGTTTGGCAGATTGTTGAAAACTTTACGGCTGGGGTTTTCCGGCTGTCTCGGGTATCAGGACCATCAATGCCATTCTCCAGAGAGAGTTCGGTGGAAAACTTGTTTTTCTGAGCAAATTCCGGTGAACCTCCACAGCTAACTCTCGGAATATCAGGTGAAGCCCCACAAATTACTAGATCAGGAGATGTTAGAGGAAATCCTAACCTGTATTCACCTGAAACGATCATCAACTTAATCAAATTGCTATAAGTTTTGGGGATTCGTGGAAGGAAAACAGCAAATTTACCCAAGCCCCATTATTCTCTGATTCAAAGGGAAATAAAATGAAGAGAGGGGCAAGTTCTGTACCATCGAGAGGGCTATCAACTGTATCACGACTTTCTTGAACTTCCATCAATTCCGGACTAGATTGCTCGAAATGGGCATCTAAATAAAACCCCGTAATTAGGGCACCGATTCACACAATCTCTAGTAGGAAATCTTCTGAATTCGAAATTTGTCGAACTTACCTTGACTGATTTGGCAACTAGAATTCAGGTCTCCCGTCGGCAGATCCATGGAGCTCGATTCTAAAGCTTCTTCAGCTGCCGATGAAAGGAAACAAAATACCGAAGAATAACAAAACAGAAAACTGGGTCGAGCTCAAAAACCTCGAAGGGATCTTCCAAACAAAATGTCAGATTCAGATCTCACAGAAAGATCAGCTTTTGCGTTGTCAGGAAGCATCGGTTGCGATAAAGGGGTTTTGCCATTGATCACAGCAACCCTCCATCTGAATTCGAAGAAACGATCAAGGGGTCGAATAAAAGGGTGAGCAATTTCAAAATCGAAGAGATGGAAGAGGAAGAAGAAAGAATTGAGCAGAGAGATTGTTATGATTATGATAAGAAAAAAGGACGATACTTTCCTTTTCTTCCCCTTTTTGCTTGCAGTTATTAGACGTTATAAGACGACCGTTGCCCCGTTTTATTTTGAAATTTGAAATCAATTCCCGGGCAATCCGGGCAACGATTGAGATCCTTTTACGGGCAGTCTGAGAGAGTACCCCGTGGCAGTTTAACCGGACCAGACCAAGGACCAATAGCATAATTGATGGGCCGTATGAATTATGAAATATTAAAGCCCGTTTAAATTAATACAGTCTTAAGAGTTTTTACATATATTAAAAATATTGATAAATTTCTAAAAATATTGTTATGAACACGGTCGTCTCAAAGATGACAAAACAGGTAAGATTAAAACCTTGTATTCGTCAAATCTACCGATCCACGTGTCCATATCCCATTGGTTAACAGACGGGTGCATGAACCGACGGTTCATTCACGCATGCAATTAATTTCCTCTCTTGTTATAAGGAATATTCAACGTGGCCGTCTCTTTCGTGTTTTTCTTTTAGGTGGCAACGTACATCCGAAATTCCTAATGAATGATTCCCATGCAAGAAATACAACTTCATCCACAGTTCACGTACGTGATTTCACTGCTTCTTCTCTCTTTAAAATATAAGACGTGGCCGACGTTTTTTGTTGTGTTAAAAAAAAAAAGAAGATTTCTCGATTTATCTATACATACATGTTAACCAAGTCACATATATATAGGCATTTGAGGAGAATATTACTAGAGTATAAAATAATTCAAAGCTTATAGTGTTACAGTGTATATAGAATATATAAACCCTAATTCTCCAATAAAAGTATCTATGATATAAACATAGTGTTACAGTATGTATAGGATAAACCCTAGTTCTCCGCATAAAAGTATCTATAAGATAAACATACAATTAAATACAAGATATATAGTACAAATTACAAAATAATTTCGCGCCTTGTGAAAAGAGACGCAAAATCACTCTCATATCTAAGAGCAATGATCTCATGAAAGTGTATATGAGCAATCAATAGCATGCATGTTTCACATGGATAATGGTTGCCCATCAAGATTGGTAGAAAGTATTTGTCATTTATTTTTCGATAACGAAATATTTGTCATTTCTAATCATACCATTGAGGAAAAATGTCAAGAAAATGCACGTCTAATAATTTTATGGGGTTAAAAAAAGGGTTTTACTATAAAGATTCTAACCGCATTGGCCTCTATAAATACCCTCTCAATGCATTGCTTGCTTCGGACACAAACCAAAGAAGAAGAAAAACACAAACACAAACACAAAGTCTTCATCTTTCGTGAACCATAATGAAACCCTCGATGGCATTTCCACTGATATCCTTGTTTCTTGCCATGGCCGCAACTTGTGCGGTCTGCCAAAACGATGCCGTATCGGACACCAATGGCGAACCACTTCGTCCGGGTGCCGAATACTTTATCGTCCCTGATTCCGGTGGGAATTTCGGCGGGCTTGTCCCCCAAAGCCGTGACGTGTTTCACATTTGTACACTCGATGTCGTTCAAACCCTTCTTCCATTTCAACCGGGCCTACCCGTTAGTTTTGTCCTTTCCGAAGAGACCGTACGATTATCCACCGACATAAGCATTCAGTTCGAATCACCGATCTGGATTTGCCGTTCATCCAAGGTTTGGAAAGTCGATTACTCGACTTCCGAGGATCTCATAACCACTGACGGTAAAACCGGCAGTGAAGAAAGCTTATTTAGAATCGAGAAACTCGAAAGTGGAAACGATTACAAGCTCGTTCACTTGGATAGCCGCTCATCTAAGATCCGTAATGTCGGCTTGATTATGGGAGAATTCGGTATTCCACGTCTAGCTCTGACAGATGAGGCTCTCTCTGTTAAGTTCCGGCCGGTTAAGGATAAGGCGAATCACGTTGAGAAAGCCAGGCTCAGGATGTTTCCATCCTACTAATCGGTTCTACGTACGTACGAGGGCATGCCATGGATGTGCTTATGGAACAATGCAGTACCAGCTTATGATGACATGTAATGCGATATATAAATGAAATAAAACTTGCATGCCCTTTAATATACATATATATAAAGATCATGTTATCAACGAGCAAACTCTTTATTTTGTTCCAATTCTTTACGAAATCATCATTTTCTTTGTTGGTGACATTTTATGTGGAAATTAGGGCAAATACGAAGCCACCCAAAACTATTAAATAAACGTGAACATTAAGCAACAGGTTATTAGAACTGTTGAAATTCGCCAACAAAACAAATGGGAATTTTATATATATATATATATATATAATTCACGATGAATTCGTAAGAATTAATATAGCAAATCAACGTCATACATTTGTCCAAAGATACATGAGGTTTTTTTAGTATTCACTAGAAATGGGATCGTGTGACGTAGGGATCATGGCCCCCTTATTCATAGAGTTTCTATTATTTTGTATTTCTAATACAGCCGATGGTATATGCACAATAGTCCTAAATTTATCTAAAATCACCAATTGAGTCCTGACCTAAAGAAAATTATCATGGGGGCAACATAAAATTTTATATAATCTAAGAGACAAATTTGAATTTTTTTTATGGGGGCATTTGACAGTTTTTATTTAAAATTTATAGAATTTATAATGAAACTAATTTTTTTTAATAAAAAAGAATTGGCGCCTATGCGACCATACCTAATAAGCTGGGTCCGCCCATGACCACATTAAAATAATACGTAGATACCATGTTGGTTGATGATATGGTATTGATTCGTTTTTAATTGGAAATATTCCCATACTTATTTCTTCTCTTTCGCCAGGTTTACAAGTTAATTTTGGCTTCGGTATGTTTTGATGAGGATGATGATGATGATATTGGGGTTGTGCAACAAATTGAGTTTTCAATTTAGTAATGATTGTTGAGTGAATATATATATATATATATATATATATATATATATATATATATATAAAGACAAACACAAATGAAATTAATTAGACATTACTCTATTGTTTTTCAAGCTATATATCGACATCTAACAAACAATACAAGTATCTGTTGGAGATATTCATCATATCTTGGGAATATTTGATATTACACTAAAATATAAAACTTAGCGAAGTTGCTGTAATTAATTAGGTTAAACTCTATATTGTATAAATATTGCTACAGAATCATATTACAAGCTAATTAAGCGCCTTTGATAAACATCTTATATGGTATCAGAAGGCGACAAACCCTAGATCCGTCGCCGCCGCCGGTTTCTCCTTCAACGTCAAACCTTTGCTATCGGCGATGCTCCGTCTGCTCCTTCCAATGCTCCTGCTTCTTCGGACTCTCCTTCGGAATCATAATACAAGTTAAACCCAATAAGTTAAATATGAACTTATATTATCACGTAAACGTCCAAATCTACGAGGGGGTGTTGACATAGACCCTATTACAACGTTTGAAGCATTTTCCTGTCCACAAAATTTTAGATCAGTGTAAACACACAACTTGTAATGAGAATATTTAAAATTTAATATATATATATGTGTGTGTGTGTATAGAAGATGTAAAGAGAAGTAACCTCAGAGGCAATGCATTCAACGTGGGAAACAAAACCACAATCTTTGCAGGAGTAGACCGGATAGTCAGAGCCTCTGGGTTCTTCGCAGATATCACAGTAGTATCCTCCGTAGTCAATGGAATCCTCAAATGAAAGCTGATGAACGTGGAGCTTGTGTTTGGCGGTGCGTGGAAGGACCAGACAACGGAGATGGAAATTGAGTTTACACACGTAGTAGCATCTGTAATAAGATTCTTGGATTTCTACATTGCAAGCTGTGCAACTTTCCCTAAACAGCATCCTAGGTTTCTTGTGAACGTAATAGAGAGGATGAGAATGGTGTTTGTATTTCAAGAGACGTCCCACCGAGTTCCCGCACTGCAAATGGAAGAATACTCGGCATTTTCCTAATACAAATGCCACACAGAATTGGGATCCCTGTCACTCCTTCGAATCTGATTGATAACTCCCCTGGTCTCCACATGCGAAAGCACTTAAAGTAATGACCCATATATGTTCCTTTCATTGCTAACACGAAAATTGAGGAAAGCATTCTTCCTCCAAAAACCTATGAAAAACTAAAAACTCTTAATAATTAAGATGTATGCATATACACTAGTGGTTTCGGAGAATAATGGCCGAGTGGTTTAAATAGAAGACAATTCCAACGAACGTCTGTTAGAAATCCGTTGGAAAAATTCATCCGTTATCCATTCGAACAGAAGTGAACGTTTGATAACGGCCAGATTATTCCAACGGAAGGCCGTTGGAATTTTTTGGACGTAAATTTCAACGGATTCCTAACGGCCATACGTTGAAATATTTCTAACGGAAAAATCCGTTGGAAAATGACCGTTTTCTTCTGTAATGACTGGTTGATTATCCATATAACGTTTTAACGAAGGACGAAACATGACTAATCTTTTACCAATAAAAAAACATGACTAACCTTGGAAAGCACGCATTCGATGTGCCCAAAAAACCTGCAGTCCTCACAGTAATAGCCAGGAATGTTTTGGTTGGGATTTGTATCTAATATTTCATACACGTGTATATGTGTATATATATATATATATAAAGCATTACCTTTATGTTTTTCTTGCCTTGTACGTGAGGTGTAAGAATATTTTTCATGGAATTAACCTTTGTCTTTTATTTTTCTTGTAAGTGGGTGTAAGAACATTCATTCTTCATGGAATGACTTGAAGATATTAAACGGATTTTGGATCTTTTAAATGTTCTCCATAGAAATTAGGCCTATGTGTCCTCTATGTAAATAATTCTAATCATTTCATAAGAAAAACTATTCCTTCATTTACCAATATATATATATATATATATAAATTGTAATGTTTTTATTGTATTTGGCAAATTTTTATTGACTTTTCTTATCGTTATTGACTCATATTACCATATGGATCCACGAATACTAATTAATTAATAATGGCTTTATATATTGAAATTAATATTAATTTTTAATAATGGCTCAACACTTTTTCACCAAATATTTGGAAAAAAAATCTACTGATCCACGAATCATTTCTTTTCAAGAACGTGGCGGCGACAGATTAGCGGATGAATCTACGGTTCGAGGAGATTTTGCAGGCAATTTTCATGTATCTCGTCTTGTTCTTGTTCTCACCGTTAATGTGGTCGTCCTTATCTATCGTGTTTGTCCTTTAGGTGACACGAACAGTCTCATGAATGATTCTCGTGCAAGAATACAAGTTCATTTACAGTTTCACGTACTTACTTTTCACTGCTTGTGCTCACTGTAAATATTAATCTCACCATATATACTCTATACAAGACTTGACCGGCATTCTTGTTACATATTAACGAAGTTACTGTGTCCACCACCCTAGTCTATGGACATGTGGTAGGGTGTCGGCTCGGCTTGTACGGATTGCAACCAGACTCGTTTTTAAACGAGTGAGAAAAAATGCCGGTTCAACTCGGTTCGCCAAATTTGATGAGTTAAACGAGACGGTTAATTAATAAAAAAACAAACATAATATTTTCTATTTATATTATGAAAAATTTCTAATGAGTAATTTTTCAATATAAAATTTAACCATTAAAACATGAAATTTAAGTTTAGAAAATGAATTTATAAAGATAAAAATATATAAATACATTAAATTTTAAAAAAATGTGTTAGTAAATTGTATTATTATATATATGATCGTGACTCGTTTGGACACCCATATGGCACATCTATTTTTTGAACTCGGTGTCAAAGTATAATTATATTTGTACAAGTAATTTGATAAATAAAAATAATCTTGTTATTATGATCATGCAAAATAACTTTCAAGGTTGTCCCATCAAGATCTATAGAAAATCTTTGTATTTTTCTCGCGTCATGTAAAGTATTTGTCATTTCCGGGAGCATGCCAAAAAGGAAAAAGCCAAGAAACATGCAAAGCTAATAATTTTACGTGGTTAAAAAAAGGATTTTACTATAAAGATTTTTACCGCATTGGCCTCTATATATACCGTCTCAATGCATTGTTTGCTTCAGACACGAACCAAAACAAAAAACACAAACACAAGATCACAAAGCCTTCATCTTTCAAGAAACCACCATGAAAACCTCGATGGTAACCTTGTTACTTGCCATGGCCGCAACTTGTGCGGTCTGTACTGAAAAACATGCCGTGTTGGACAGCGATGGCGAACCACTTCGTCCAGGTGCCGAATACTTCATCGTTCCGGCATCTGGTGGGAATGCCGGCGGGCTTGTCCCCGCCAGCCGTGACTTGCTTCACGTCTGTACACTCGACATCGTTCAAGCCCTTCTCCCATCTCAACCAGGCCTACCCGTCAGCTTTATCCTTTCCGAAGAGACCGTACGATTATCCAAGGACCTAAGCATTCAGTTCAAATCATCGATCTGGGTCTGCCCTTCATCCAAGGTCTGGAAAGTCGATTACTCAACTTCCGAGGATGTTTATAACCACCGGCGGTAAAGTCGGAAGTCAAGACAGCCTCTTTAGGATCGAGAGGCACGAAAGCGGCAACGATTACAAGCTCGTTCACATGGACAGACGCTCATCTACGAGCCTCAACGTCGGCACGTTCGAGGGCGACTTTGATATTCCACGCCTAGCTCTGAGAGATGAGGCTCTGCCTGTTAAGTTCCGGCGGGTTAACCGTAAGGCGAATCGCTTTGAGAAAGCCAGGCTCAGGATGTTTCCGTACTACTAATCGGTCCTACGTACGTACGAGGGCATGCGATGCATGGATGTACTTATGGAACCTATGATATGATGTAATATTGTGATATATATAAATGGTGAAGAATAAAATAAAATATAACCTGAAAAATCGTTACCGTAGTGTGTGGTTAGAGAGAATTAACGTAAGAAAATACATATCGAATACGCGAATTATTATAAACTCAAAAAAAAAAAAATCTTAAGGCCCAAGTTAACTCCGTCATTCGTACGGCGAAATCTCCTCTCTGGCAAATCCCTAGATTGTCGACGATACCCAAAAACCAGACCATGTTCATTCCCTCCCCTTCGTTTACTTCTTCCCCAAGAAACCCAAACATTTCTTCAAACTCCGATAACCTTTTTGCTCTCATCGTCATCTTGCATCGTTAATGTTCTCATAAATAGACCTCACTTCAATGTCAGATTCCGACAATAACTCATGTTCGGACGGGAGATTCTTCCGATGGCGTTTTTTCCGGCGAAGAAGAACCGACAAAACCGGAGAAGTTTCGCCACAAAGTGTATGCTCTTTTGGTGAAACAGCAACGTGCTCGTCTCTATATACTCCGTCGTTGTGCCGCGATGCTCCTACGCTCATACATGGAAGGCGATGATTAGCACCAAAGATATACATAAACGCCATATCGCCATCTTATGATACACACACATATATATATATATATATACCTGCTGATTATCCTTTTTTTTTTGTTGACCCTCGAATTCATCTAGAGGTTGGGCTTCTTCTTTTTCCACAAGGATTAGGGTTTGGGATACATGGCCTGCTTACTTGCGTCACAAGTTTTCTCCCTCGTAAACCTTCTTCTCCCTTTCTTCCGGTTTTTTGCTCGACCCAGTCAACGGTGAAAGTTCGATTAGGGTTTCAATTCATCGGCGGGTGATTTCGCGGCTTCGATCTCGCATTTTTCCGGCCGACAAGACTCCACGGAAGATGAAAAAATAACAATTTCCTTTGGATGGAAATAGTTTAGAAAATTAATAAATGATGTAACACATTATTATAAGCTTCAAAAAGCAATGTATCCCTCTTAATCCCAACTGGATTTATAAAATTGTAAGAATAAGACATTTTTTTCCCGCATTGAGTACAAAGTACAAACGCCGTACTCGATACGTCGATGCACGATATATAATTTTTTGCCTAGTTTTAAAGAAAAAAAAAAAAGAAAAAGCGAAAGGCACCTCTCACGAGTTTGAGAGATGGAAATTTGTATCCCTCAATTTCAAATTTTAAATATATAAATAAATTTAATACGCCAGATTTTAATTTATCATCGGACTTGCAAAATGAAAAGTATACATTTTTTTTCCCCTTCAAATCACACCTACCGAAATATGCATATTCAAAGAGTTGGTAAACGACAGCGTTTTGGTCCACCGGAAAAGTCATTCTGTCAGCTTCTTCAGTTCTAAACATAACAAATGACTTTGACGTCGTCGCTCTCTCGGTTTCCTCCGTTGCTCTTTTGGGTATGTCTAACGCTCTCATCCTTGTCCCTTTTCTTCTTGCTCTTCATCTTTTGCTTTTATCACTCGTCGCAACTCTCCGCTTGTTTGGTCTCCTTGTTGTCAGTGTTGTTCTGTTCTTGTTCTGGCAATTTTTTGCGCATGAAGTGTTCGTCGTAATGTCGCTTCCAAGCCACCTTAGTTTCCACTAATTTTTGGGTATAGATGGTAATAGATCCTCGAGGCCTTGATCAGTAACTACTATTTTTTTCCATGGTAAAATTTGATTTGTGTTAATTGATATTGCAAAACCATTTTGCGGTTTCCCTTTTTTTTTTTTTTTTTTTTTTTTTTTTGGTTTTTTCACTAATTTTTGGGTATAGATGGTAATAGATCCTCGAGGCCTTGATCAGTAACTACTATTTTTTTCCATGGTAAAATTTGATTTGTGTTAATTGATATTGCAAAACCATTTTGCGGTTTCCCTTTTTTTTTTTTTTTTTTTTTCTGTTTTGGTTTTTTGGCAGTCCTGAATGTTTGAGGTGTTGTTCCTGGATAGTGGGCAAGGATAATTAGTGAAAAAGATCGAAACTTTTTCATGTTTTGACTGTTTTAGATGTTGAATACGAGCATGAGGGGAGACATGTAAGCTCCGTATTTGGTTTGTGCATCTAATATGACGGCGTAAGCTATAAAAGCTGAAGCTTTACTCGATTTCCTGACTTTAGATTTCTTCGATGAATATTCACTTTTGTTTCTGAATGTTTTGAGTGATGGAGTTTCTTGTCCAAATTAGGGTAAGATTCTGCAGAGGCAGAGAAAATTAGTTCGAGCTTAGCTCTGAAACCCGATGATTTTGACTATCACTTAAAGAATCTGCGTGAAGAACTATACCTTCTTGTTTCCATGTGCCATTTTGTGTATTTTCTTATCATGCTTCTAATACTCAGTGAGGGGATGCTCTGTTTTATTGTTTATTTTTCAATCCTCTCATCCGCTAAATTTATGTAGCCGAACTACTTAAGCTTCTGATGATTGAAAATGGAAACTACAAGTGTTTGTTTAAGTTCACTTAGCTGGAGATGGGTAACTTGCTCTTGTTTCGGTTTGTGAGACATTTATTACGAACCCCAGTTGAAGAATCATGGCACCATGGTGTCTTGCTCTTTACATCATCAAATCTGTGTATTACAATTTAATTTACAGGAAAAATGAAGTTATAATATACACTGACAAAAAAAACGTATAGTTTCTTGTATTGTTGTACGTATCACATCTCAAGGAAAAATGAGGGAAGGATCAGACAAACATTTACATTCGTTCTTGTTCGTCTCTGTTATTTTGACTTGCGTTTTCTTCTCCTACGTTCTTGAGACAGTCTACAACCTCCTGAATGGTTGGTCTCCTGAGAGGATTTTGGTTCACGCACTTGCAGGCTATGTCTAGAACCCGAAGCATCTCTGCTTCATAACCTTTGCCTCTCAGAAAAGGATCAAAGACCTCATCTTGTTTGCCTTCACTTCTCAGCTGTTGTACCCATCCGACCAGTTCTCTTGACATCTTTGGTCTGAACACCTCCATTGGTCTTTTCCCAGTGAGAAGCTCAAGCATGACAACCCCAAAGCTGTACACATCTCCTCTCAAAGTGGCCACCCATGCTTGTCCATACTCCGGGGGAATGTAACCCAAAGTACCCACAAGCTCGGTCGTAACATGGGTTCGGTAAGGAAGGATCAACCTTGACAGACCGAAATCTCCTACATGTGCCTTAAAGTTTTCATCTAGGAGGATATTGCTGGACTTTATGTCACGGTGGACTATATGTGGTTCACATACTTGGTGCATGTAAGCAAGTCCATAACTTGCTCCTCGGGCAATATTAAGTCGTTTTGGCCAATCCAGCTGGGATGGACCATCCGGGTTCTCGTGCAGCCAGTAATCAAGACTTCCTTTCTCCATGAAAGAATATATCAGTATCCTGCAGCCTTCGTGCACACAGTAGCCTTGTAGGGCTACCAGGTTTTCATGTTTGGCTCTAGACAGAACTTCCACCTCTGCTTTGAATTCCTTTTCCATCAGACCGTAATCTCCAGTGAGTTTCTTGACTGCCAGTTTCATTCCGTTTTCCAATACGGCCTTGTACACAAGACCAAATCCTCCACAACCTATTATGTTCGCCTGACTGAAGTTGTTTGTTGCTTTCAGGAGCTCGAAAATGGTAAGGTCTTTTACTTCACTTCCATTGTTTCCAAACAACAGAACTAGGCTTATGTCTTTCTCATATTCTGGAACAACTGCAGAATATGAAGCATTGGACATTACATCCAGTTCTGCTTTCTCAGAGTCTCCCCCAGGAATGATCCTCCTGTTGGACAGCACCCACAGAGCTATCACCACCAAAATCAAACTTGCAGCGAAAACAGTTCCAATGACTATTCCCGTGACAAGCTTTGCGTTGACCTTCTCCTTACTCGTGGTTGTACTGGAGGAATTAGGTGGACCACCACAGGGGCGCTGCAGTACAGTCCCGCACAATAACGGGTTGCCATCAAAATGTGTTTTTGGAAATGTATCGAACTGACCTCCTGTTGGTATGGCCCCCTGGAGATTGTTGTTGGCCACATCGAAATAGGACAGGAAATGGAGGCCTGTGAGTGACCAAGGGATCCGACCCGACAGATTATTGAAGGACAAATCGAGTCTCTCTAAGTTTGTGAGGTTTGCCAATTCTTCCGGGATGCTTCCAGAAAAGTTATTATGTGAAAGCTCGAGCACGTGGAGAACCTTTAACAGGCCAATCTCGACTGGAATACTCCCAGTGAGGTTATTCTTGCTGAGATAAATGGCAGGGGGAAGGCTGGACAGCTGATTATATTGCTGATTGGTTGTGACATTGTTCGGATTGACAAAGACCGGCAGCTCTAAGTAATTCCGCTCCGTTGCATCATAAGCCTTCTGCGACATTAGAGCCCTCAGATGAAAGATTTCATTGGGCAGGTCTCCTGTAAGAAGGTTATCCGAAAGATCCATGTAGAAAAGATTTGGAAGAGTTCCCAACCAACCAGGAATCATCCCTGTAAGAGCGTTCACTGACAGATCCAGAACCTCCAAGTTCCTGAGCTTGATCAGCCAATCTGGTATTCTACCTTTCAATCTTGATCCACCGATACCAAAGATTTGGAGATTTGAGAATCCATCTGGGGCAATAAAGTCTTCATTACTTGGAACCGTTTCGTTATAGAAATTTTTTGCCATTATAAGAGTGGACAGTTTCTTGCAGCCCTGCAGAATGGTGAGAGCCCCTGTAATATTCGTCAGTTTATTATCCGAAAGAGACATGAATGACAGGGACTCAAGTCCCAGTACTTCAGGAGATAGTTGTCCTGTTATCTTGTTGCCTGCAAGCCTTATCGCTGTGAGTGATTTGCAGGAGTAAAGGGTCGAGGGAAAATCACCGGAAAAGCTATTGTTCCCGAGATCAAGAGTGCTAAGGTTCTGAAACCTGGAAAAGTCAATCTCGGATAAGCTTCCTCCAAGAACATTAACCCTCAAATTCAACTTGACAAGATTTGTGCAGTTCGCTAGAGAAACCGGGATTGAACCAGTGAGGTTATTGATGTGGAGTTGGAGGTTTTGCAGATTGGAAAGCTTACCTATGTCCATAGGTATCTCTCCTACAAGGTGGTTGGAGTAAAGCCCAAGCAATGTCAGCTTCGTCAGGCGGGTGATGGACTCATTTATCTTTCCAGAGAGATGGTTGACTGGCAAAAAGAGTTCTTCAAGCCCTGAAAGATTGTAGATTTCGTTTGGGATTTCACCAGAGAGATTGTTGAAACCTGCTCTAAAAACACTTAGCCTCAAACACCTGCCGATTTCTGGGGAGATACTGCCGCTGAAATCATTGTACGCGAAGTCCAGTTTACCGAGTTGTGGTGAACTAGTGCACATAAACGAAGGGATTTGACCTGTGAAGCTGTTGTTGCTGACATTGAAACTGGTCAAATTCGAAGCACACTGAAGAAAAACTGAACTACTGGGGATTTCACCTTGGAGAAGATTGCTTGACAGATCAACTATCTGAATAGGGAAGAGAACTCTGCTGCTCCCATTGCCAAACGCTTGTTCGAGTGGAAATTCACCACTGAAGCCGTTGAAACTGAGATCGAGAACCAGAAGCTGATCAAGGGCAGAGAGAAAACCTGGCGGGAGAGCACCCGAGATACGGTTATGAGAGAGATTGAGATGAGAGAGACGTGAAAGATCCAGAATAGACAGAGGGAGATTCCCAGAGAGTCCTCTTGAGGGCAAAGAAATCACTGAGACACGTTTTTCTGGAGAACCGTCACATGAGATTCCTTCCCATAAGCAACAATCAATGGATTGATTCCAAATCAAAGGAGATACAGTAGAGGAAATGTTGCCCAGGAACCACAGCAGGGAATCTCTGTCCTGTGAATTACAGTCAGCATCTGCAGGAGTAAGAAAGAGACCAGGGAAGGGAAGAACGCAGAGAAGAAGGAACAGAACCATGTGAGAGCTTAGAGATGGTATTGGTCCTGATGATCTTACAAGACCACTGGATCTCATGTTCACATGGATCATTGTAAGAACCAGAGAAACACAAAAAGGGTGGGAAAGAATCTTGGAGAAAAAGGAGGAGGAGAGGGAAAAGTAGCAAGAGACATCATTATCCAATCTGGGTTTCTCTGTCGAAGCTTGTAAATGGCTCTAAACTCAGCCATTGACCATGGAGAATAGTCAGAAGAACAACACAATACACAGAGGAAGAAAACTTCTTGTCATAAACAAAGTAACTTTCATTTTTTTTATTTAAATTTTGATAATATTATATTTCCTCCAAAGTATGGGTAATGTCATTTGTGGAAGTGGAATGCGTGCGTGCTATGATGTTGATGATGAATTGAATTATTTTTTTTTTTTTGAAAAAATGATGGGAGCCAACATGATGATAAAAAAGAAAATAATGGTAGTGGGGAATACAGGTATATGGTTATTATTTCATTATATAAAGATGGATATAGAGGCGTTTACCTTTCTGGGCGGCTGCTTAGTGGTGGTGGTGTCAAGACTCTTTTTTTTTTTTTTTTTTGCCGTGAAAAAGTTTTTTAATAAAATTTTATTTTCAATATTCTTTTATTTTATTTTTCTGCCCATTACTGTTTTTTTTTAATGACAAGTGGACTGGATGCCACATTTTAACATTAGATAGTGCCCAAAAGGGAACACATAACACAACACAAGGGAGACAAGGAGATCAAGTACTTCTATTTGTTTTGTTTGACTTTGTGTTTTGGATTCCAATAACTTTCTAGGGTTCTTTTTAAAAAAAAAACAAATTGTTTATATATTTATATATTTGGGTGATTAAAGAGATTGGATACCCTATTTGATTAATTTATGGTTTACTTTTCTCCTCTGCTTTTTTTATTATTATGGTTAAAGTAGATCACAAATCCTTGACATATCTTTTAGATTCCATTTGATAAATCAACAGCCATTATATGCCAAAACGATATACTTTTGATGATGAGGATGGATTTTATCTCAATTTGATTAGTAATTCTAGATATGCCATATTCATATTATCAAACTTTCAAAGATAATATATTTTTTTCATCCATTAACGTAAAAATCAAAATTTCAAAATGTTAAAATGTGGCATCCATTTGTCATAAAAATGTGGAAAGAAGCCTTAGATATAAAATAATTTCATATATATATATATATATATATATATATATATATAAATTAAACAATATTCGGAAAATCTTAGGGATAGACGGTTTTGTTAGACCACCTCTTTGCTATATCAATAAAATAAAACCTCCTGATTGAGAATAATGAATTACTAAATAAGGTTATGACTTTACAAAACATTAATAAAGTACAACGAATATTAACCTTTTTTATTATACACCGGTCATACTATTCTAATTCTTATAAAAATTATATTTTTTAAGAACCATATGAATATAGTTTGTCAAAAAAAAAAAAGAAGAACCATATGAATGTATACATCCATTTTACAAAACTATAAAAGAAAAAAAAATGAGAACCATATTAATGCATCCATTTTTTTGTGAATTTACGATTTACCCTTGTTTTTTTATTAATGCATCCATATGAATAAAGGATTATATTTTTTTATTTTTTTATTAGTTTTCTATTTTATATCATTGGAGGATTAAATTAATATCTTATCCCCACTATATTCTTTCCACCATAATTTTTTTTTGTCTGAAACCATGGGTTAATTAATTTATGTTTTTTTTTTATTTTCTTTTTGTGCGACCAACTTATGTGTTATTTATTGATGCATATACGTCAAATCCAGGTTTGATCTTGCTTGTCGTTTTCCTTGCAAGGGGAGAGAAGAAGAAAACCCCGATTGAGTTATTTTTGTCATGAAATTATATTTAATCTATTATTTATTTATATAAATTAACGGTTAACGAATTTATTTTATTATTACTACTAAAGTACGGACGAAAAAGAAACGTATGTCGGAATGGGTCGAGTAGAGCCCTTCCTTTTTATTGGCTCTAATTTTTTTTTTTTTTATGAAAGGGAACATTCCATGTAGTTTTACTTATTTTTCCTAACTTTTTTTCATTTTTCGACCTTTTATATTTTTTACAGTAATTATAAAAACTAATAAAAAATTATTTTACCAATGGAAATTTAAGCCATGATTTCTTAGATAATGATATTTTTTTTTGATAATTATAATTCTCTCCAATTCTAAATTATGAATTAAAATATGGTATGAATTTATTTATGGGAAAATTAAATTTCAAATATTAATTGTTTTCCATAGTCGATCTTTCTTTTCTTTTTCTTTTTTTTTTTATAAAAAAAATCAGATAAAAAGTTACTTTGATGATGATAATGTTTAATTTTTTGAAACGAGTGGATCATATAAAATATATTTTGATTCCTTTTTATTTTTTGTTTTGGAATATATCTATATCTACATACATGTACTTAGACCCGTTAGAATGTTTTATTAGATTACAATATCATAGTGAATAATCACTAGACACCAAATATTATATTATAATATCATAGTGAGTAATTAAAAAAATCTATACAAATGATGCAATTATTATGCTTTGAATTCGATTTTTTTTAAGAATTTGTAATTTATATTTAGTATTATTTACAATTGTAAACATTTAGTAAAACACTCTATTGTCAATATAGTTGAGTGCAATATATGTAACCACCAACTAATATTATCATAGATTAAAAGCAAACAACTCAAACTTATGAAATTTTTTACATCTAATCACTGTTAACATTAAAGAATATTTTGATGAATGATGAAAATTCAAATTTTATAATCTTTGTCATTTTTAAATCTGAATGATGATGTGTTACATCAACATCCTACGTGAAATGACAAAGATTATAAAATTCGGATTTATTTTTGATTGAAAAATTAAGTTGAAATTTTATTTGATAAGAAATAAAGTTCAAGATTTATTTTGTAAAAACTAAAAAATTCAGATATTTTTTGGGAATTTTTTCTAAAAATAAATTTATATCTATTTTTAATTATGCGGTATTATATTTTACTATTTAACTAATTGGATGCATCTACAAGGGCAAAACGTCACCAATTTAGAATTTCCGACCTTATGCAAATAAATTTAAGAGATACGACTTGAATTTTAAATAGTGGACAAAACTACAGTCAACGGATAATAAAATAAAGTAAAAATATAAAATAAATATTTTGTGCTACTTGTTGTAGGTATATTTGGTATATTATTTACATTTTCGTACGACCCGGAACTGCCTTTGCATGAAAGAATTGACTTTTTTTTTATAAAAAAAAAAGGAATTTGTAGCTAACTCTAAAACTTGCAAACAATATATATATAGTGCATTCATATTACATACAGATGCGCACATATATACAACGAGTAAAAATAAGAAAACGGGAATTATATTGTCAAATTGTGTAATGATTCCATTTATTTTTTAGATATCGAATATTCTTATAAGGTGTAGGTATGATATTTACCAACATTAATCATGAGATGCTTGAGTCGTAAAACCCTACGGTGCAAATTCATTTTAACATCCAAATCTATTGTCTGTTATATATTTTGATATCAGAATTTTCTTTTCATTGATCTATTTACACTTGTATACCTAAACAAGTGTTAATACTAGGGCTGCACATTTATATCCGTTACCCGCGGGTTTGCGGATATCCGGTCTCGTGGGTACCCGAAAAACGGTACTCGCCTCTGAATGAAGACGAAGATAGATACATAAAAATGACAACGAAAATGGGTACGGGTTTCATTTTTATGAAGACGGGTATCCACGGGTACCCGTAAATATATAAAAATATCAAATATTCCTACATTTTTTTAATTATTTATTTAAATATTAGGTTTTAACTTTTAAAAATTAACATATATATTTTAAAAACTTTTAAAAATCTATATATATTCAAAGATATATATATATTTTATATTTTAAATATATTTTTGAATTAAATAATATAATTTTACTAAATATTTGGTTTATATTTATTTATAAAATATATATTTTATGGGTACGGATACCCGTCTCTTAATCACGGATACCCGGTGTTAATGAGATAAAGAATGAGACATTGTTTTCATGAAATCCGCGAAACGAAGACGAAGACGGGTATCTCCAAAATCACGGATACCCGACCCATGCCCAACCCTAGTTAACACATTGTCTATTTCTCATGATATTTTAACATTCGAACTAAGACATATTTTTATTGCAAAAATATTTTCGAGCAAAGAAGAACTAGTTGCAGAGGAATAGTACGGAAACTCTACTCTACGGACATTATCTGTCCGAGAAAAAAAAATCCAAAAGACTCACTTTCTACCCAAGGCCTAGACGGACAACCTCGGGAGGGCAATGGTATATTATACGAGCAAGAATCGAAAATCTGAAACCTATATATAATAATACACTACTGTACACGTCGAAAAATATGAATGGAATCCAAAAAGCTTCGTACCTTTTTTTTTTGGGTAATGGGAAGGTTGATTATTCATCTTCGGCTATGAAGTTTGGATCTTCGCCATGGCAGAGGAACTCGTCGCAAATAGAGGAAGTTCCCCAGTCTTTCCTCAGCCGGAGGATATCATCTGTGAAAGTCGATCCTGATGCTCCTATGAACACGCTCGCCTTTGCGCATATCGTCTTGTCCAACATCGCTTCCACCTACTCGTTACCGAAAAAGAAAATTGCAAAGAAAGTGAACACAAAGAATCCTCTACGGTTCAGGGAGACGGGTTTAGGGTTTAGGGTGTTTCGTTCTTAGTGAATTCATTTTGAAACTAATGAATCGGCTATAGACCTAACCCAAAGAGAAGAAGTGGCAAAGTTATTTACCTGAGAATCGTCCTCTATGCCATGTCTATACAACAATGCATCCCACTTTTCAGCTGAATTACGAGGAGGGCGTTTGACAAGTGGCACGACTTTTCCGTCCACGACTACAAGTGACTGAAGCAGACTGGTTTCACTTTCTGCGGCATCTGTTGAAAGATAAATGACTGGTGCATCGGCCCTTTCAACTATACGAGTTATGCATTCTGCCGCTTGTGGAATCGGATAAAAGCAACTTGGTGTTTTCGCATTGCTGACAAAGAAAATTTTTTCCAGGTGATCATCAGTTTTCAGGCTTCATATCATAGCAGTAGGGTCAGGTGATCATACAAAATGTAGAATAGATTTGTCAGAAGCTAAGAGCCTGACCGTATCAGTAAAACATAAATATCCGACAATGTTTCTATGATCCAATTCCTAAGCAATGCTGCAGTGATCATATTCAAGAACCAGTTCCGAATGTTGTTTTGGATATCCGAATCAGTCAGGGTACTAGCCATAAAAATATTCTACTGCCAT